CTACTGCTGGTACTGGTACTGGTACTGGTACGGGTACTGGTACTTGTACGGGTACTAGTACTAGAACTAGTACTAGTACTGCTACTGAAATACGACTACGACTACGAAGGCCACTGCAGCGACGACAACTGCAATGGCATCTGGAACAGCCGTAAATCCGTAAAGCAACAGGGACATCAACATCCGTCGACGCAGCAGTGGCTGCATCCGCGACAGCAGCTGCAACTTCCAAGGTGAGGCCCGGACGTGAAGTTACCTGCTCCATGACGGAGGCACGTCGTCGATCCGTGCGGTCGTGGGAGGAGACATCAAACATGCTTTCCTGCAAGGGGGCTCAGGGATTTGCCCCATCAATTTCCACTCATTCTTCGTGGCAGGATGGAGCAGGAGGGTCCTCCAATCTTCCGATGACAACCTGGAAGGTCGAATGGCGACCAGCCCGTTGTCCCCACGATTCCATCGAATTCGTCCTGTGGCTTGGTTGCACCACTCAGTCTACATCTATCTACTCTGCTCTTTCGTCATTGAATAGACCCTGCGAGCTCTCATTACACCTAATGGAATGTACTTCCCTTACTCTCCGGCACTACACTTAGTGACTCAGTGACTTAGTGTTGATGACCTTTGACGCTCACTTTTTCCTTCGGACTCTACTCTTGCCCGTTCCTCCGTTACTGTGCTTTGCTTGTTGCATCGGGTGCTCGTATGGTCCTTGCTGCGTCCACTACAGTTGACGCTTGTACTGCTCCTGCTCTTGCTAGGCTCAATAACTTTCGCTACTTTCGTTCACCGAATCCGTCCCTTTGCAATTCATGTTTTAACTTAGGAATGTCTTTCAGCTCAAGCCATTTATGCAGCACTCGCGTGGCGTTCTTTACTTCTCCTTAGTGCTCCCAATGGCACGCAACATCGTATCTCTACAGTTACCCGAAGCTCCTCTTTGTCTCGAAGTGCGATCCATCCTGGGAGGCTTCGCCCTCTACCTGCTTCTCGCTGTGGCTGTGGCTTCCCACACTTCGGGCTTCTGCCTCCTCGAGATCTCGCATACCTTGATCTTGAGGACTGAAGCTGTGTTGCTGAAGCAATGCACATGTTTACGTGCTTCTTAAGAGTCTGAGCTCTTCATCGTCGGCAAACTCAGCCAATTCGGCAACTGCTTCCAGGTCGATGCCATCCTAAAGAAGACACACGGGGCAACAACCTGCATCTGCAGTGTTCCCTGGTCCCTGGATGTCCCTGGCAGGTGCCTGGTGCAGGATCTGCTCCAGGATAGGAGGAAAGAGATGGTTGGAGACCGCCAGGGCCGTGAAAGAAGACAAGGCCACGGGCAAGATGATGTTGTACGTGCGGGTCCCGGTTAGCTCGAGCCTGCTGCACTGCACTCACGAGGGCATGTCGCATATCCCTGCCATGTCTTGCAGTCTTGCAGTCTTCTCTGCGTGTTTTCTCAACTTGGTGCCCGACACGATGACCACTGGGGTCACGGGAAATCTGAAGCAACTTGCAAAGAGTCCCACCATGCCGAAGATCTCGCAGGCAGCATTGGCCTCCTCTCCCAGCACGGAGTCAGGCAAAACCTTCCCCACGAATCCTCCGATAAATCCACCAGAGATCAAGACGGGCTCCAGGGTGTCGCCCGGGAAGCGCGCCGAGACTCCCAGCATGAAAGCCCCAAGCTTGCCAAGGGCGAAGATCAACAAATCGACGGCCTGGGACCAGACCAGGCCGGACCAAACTCCCAAGTTTGACTCGGCCTCTGGTCTCTACTGCAGCTCAGGCCTTTATGTTGGGGTTCTGCACCAGGACTTCGCCCAGATCCTTGATGCCGATTCCCCAAACACCACGAAGGCCTCTGCAGCGACCATGACTAGACACGGGGGTTTCAGATTGTGCGCACTCAAGCAAAGCGCAGGCCTGTGAGGTGGAAGACCAAGGCCCCAATACCCGCAGTCATCCCACCCAGGATCATAAAGACCTCGAGCAAAAGGGAAGAACATGACCCTATACTCTTCAGCCCGGAAATCGCTCTGAATGCTGCCACTGTGCCAAATATCTTGGGCAGCATTCATAAACCTTCTTCGTAAGGAGCCAGTGGGTGAAGCCGAAACCCTGACGTCATAATGGCGGCAATGCTCATCAAACTGCTTGCTTTCGTGCACTAACCCAGCCTTGTGAAAGATATATCCGACAAATGCGCAAAGCAAGCCTTAGATGTGTTGCCACCAGGCTGGAAGGTCCAAATGCAGATGAAGGTTAGCACCCGAATATCCGAGGCACCAATGCCTATGGACACTAGCATCCACATGCTCTTGCCAAAGATTGTCTCAATCGATCCGCCTGACAAATCGCATTCCGCCACATGTGGCTGGCCAAGCCCTCCACCTGCATCCAACCCGGCCTGCCACCATGTCTTCCAGATTGTCTGGGTAGACCGCCTTGAACAGCACCTTGTTCTCAAGAAGTCCGCGCATGACCTTGCAAGGAGGCGGCTATGTAGCTGGGCATGAGGCATCTTCCGAGATTCTGCAGAGACACTGCTGTGGAGACGATGGAGCCAACCAGAATGATACAAATCACACGTGTCGTCAAGCGTGACGACACGTGCGAGAGCTCCTGCAAACGAACAGCAGAATAGCACGGATCCAAGCATGAGCAATAAGTTGCCGGAGGGCCTCCATGGCAAAAAGAATCCCGGACAGAGGTGCATTGAAGCTCGACGCGAAGCCGCAGCAAAAGCCCAACGATGCCTAGCCGAGCCATGTCATCATACTGTGGGCTGCGCGATTCTTGAGTCCAGTCTGCGGACGTGATGCTAGAAGGGACTGCGTCCGCGGCGCTCGAATCCCACATATCCATCCGATCATACCCGCCACCGCAGTGCAAACCTGGATTGTAGGCCCATCTCCGCCCATTGTGCCTCACGCCAAGCTGGTAACTGCCAAGAGAGCTCCTGTGACATCGCCCTGCGACAGGATGGAAACCTTCGGCCTCCACCGGTGAAGTATAATGCCATGATCACAACCCGAAGAGCTGCACATCCTCAGCTGACAACGCATCTAGGCAGGAAATGCCGTGGCGGCTGCGATTGTTGCCAAATGCAATGCAGCTTCTGAAGGCTATGGGAATGCCAGCAGCAACCGCCAGAAGTGATTGCACTGTGCCGCCCCCAAGGACCTGCGAAGTCGATGTTAGTTCCCGAGGCCACTGTGAAACTGCGGAGTGCTCAAAACGCATCACGATGGTGCCCCAGCTCCAATCGCGACAGCAAAGGCGCTACACCCAACTCTAATATGCTTTCCGCCTGCTTCCCATAGCGTTCAGGGAACACATCCGCGACTATGCCGATTGCCTTGGCAATCCAAGTCGTAGCAGCTTCACCAACTCTGGACTCCAGACTTGAGCATCGGACCAACATGCACACCATCGCCATGACGACGTTGACAACGGCTTCGGGAACATATCCCTCCAGGGCTTTGACCAACAGGAAGCCCTTCTTTTCATACTCGTAGCCTTGCAGGGCTGAAGTCATGATCACGATTGCTGCCGCCCAGCTCTGCAGCTTTGGCCTGAAAAGCTGTTGCAGCCGTTCGTCCCAAGAGGACAGCCGACGTATTTGATCATGGTGTGGAGACCGGCCACAAGGGCTCCCAACAGCGCCGCAATTAGACATGCAAACCTCAATTTAACAGCGCGAAAATCCTGTTAACTCTGAAATCTTCTTTCCAGACAGTCACTAGAGTGCCGCCGGGCGTCAACACCAGCAGAATCGGCAAAGATTCCGGCATCGCAGCATCACCTGCACATCAAGGCTATAGCCGGCTATAGCAGCCATGAGTGTCCTCCACATTGCCAAGCAAAGGTGTTCTGATCCGAGCAGCCTGCGACCGAGAGCATGGAGAACCGGTCCGACCGTTCGGTGAGGTAGCCATTTCCTGAAAATGCCGCTGCAAAAAAAGCAATGAGGCAGGCAACACCCTGTCGTCCGTGGCTAAAGACAAGATAGCCTAGTCAGCCGCTCAGGCCATCGCTAGCACTCGGCGTCTCGTCGAGATTTCCCGGGAAGTACCTCGACCAAAGCCTACGCCAATACAAAACCTGGCTTCCAACTCAGCTGTGTCCTTTTTGCACTCTTCACGCATGCATGCACGCACATACATGCCTACATACATACTTACAACCATACATACATGCATGCATACA